CAAAAGCTCAGTGTGGTGAGGTGCTAAAACCTTTCCAAAGGTGGGGAGTGTTATCCATGCCTTGATGAAGGGATGGGACTCTTGGGCTCAGAAGGATTTATTGCTCAGATAAACATCAGCCTTAGAGGCTGTGAGATTTTAGAGCAGTAAGAAGTCAGCCACAGCTTAGAGTAGTCACAAGTTTGTTCATTGCAAGGCAATACATAACATTCCAATCCAATGGAAAGTGGCTACAAAGTTTATTTTGTTTTTCTAACCTATCATCTTTACCTAATTCTGCTGCACTGTGTACATTTTTATCCACTGGTCCACTACTACACGTAGACACACATGTTTCTATTACAACTTCTAAACTCTTAGCTTACTCTATACAATTACATTACCACACTATCAAACCCTTCACTATCTTACCCAATAGTTTCTCACTTATTTAAGGCATATTCTTATTTACAACTATAGAAACATAAATTTATAGTTTTTCTGCTTAGTGTTTGTGTACTTTTATATGTACATCAATCCAAGCTTCTCCCAAGGCTGCAAATCAAACCCTTCGGTGTCTGTGGAAGTTTTTATCTTTCCATTTCCTACAGGGGACTTCATTAAAAAGTAGCTCCCCCTTCCCCTGGAGCATTTCCAGAAGAATGGGCCAAACCCCTTGTTAGTCTTCCTGCCTTAAACATCTTTTGGAAACACACTCTGGAATGCTGTACCAGGAGCACAAAAACCACTTTTAAAAAGTGTCCAGTGCTCTGTCCACACATGCAATGGCCTTTCCCATGTATGGAATGAACTCCCTCAAGGCATTCCTAGCTAATCTGGGTTTTCCATGGGGAAAGCATGAGAGAAAGCATCCTGTGTGGTAGTGCCTGCTTGCTGTGCCCCCTGGCAAGGTGAAACTGCATATAATGTGGTTAAACTCGTTCCACTGAATTGCTCATCAAACTGATTTATCTGCTGCTTTCAGATCTTCTTGGTAGCTTCTGCATTAAGTTCAGCACAAAGGAATGGTGATTTATTCTGTGCAAGTATTTGGTTTCTTACCCTGGAATGGGAGATTTCTCTCCTCAGCCAGAACTGCTGGCAGGAAGTGGGAACTTAGTGTTTATTAGAGATGCTGCTTTCTTTCTCTTTGCTTTGAGGATTATGAAAGGAAAATACAATGTGGGAGTAAAGGGGATCGAGCATTTCCCAGACATCTAAAAAAAAAACCCAGCAAACACACCTACAACTTTATTTTTTTCCTACAAAGTAGGAAGCATCTATCAGCTGTGTACATCAAAACTACGTGATAAGATTAAAACAAAAAATCCCCTCATTGTGCAATTCAATCAGAATGCAGACTTGTATAGAGCAGTGAACATTTAATGAAGAAATTGGCAAAGTGGGGGAAAAAAAATCTTTACCCGCATCCAGGAGAGCTGATTCAGAGAATTACTTCAGTCAGCTGAGACACTTGGGCAGCCTTAAACGGGGCCGATAAGATTAGAGCTCAATCAAAATAGCTGCAAATCATCAGGTGTCACGTTCAGCCTCCAGTAATTTGTCTTAAAGGACAGTGCCTTTCAGAACAGCCTGCTGGGTGCCTGGCAGAGCGCGGAGATGCCGGTAATTAATTGGCTGCTGAATTGATCACTTGCAGGGAAGCAGAGGGGAAGCCCAGGGCTGGGTGCTGGGGCAGTGCAGACTCACGGCAGCGCAGAGCTGGCTGCCTCTCCCTGGAGCCTCTGCTTTTACTCTGTCAAGTCCATTCTTCCTGGGTGCCATGCTCAACAACTGAAGACAAGCCAAATTATTTGCAATACTTGTTTAACCATCTCTTGATTGCTTTTGACTTTGTCACGTGAACCCCCTTCTGCACCAGTCTAGACTTAATTCTTTAATTTATTTGGGGGACTGTGATGTGTGCGGGTTTTATTGTCATTGCACAGAACCAAGTGTGAACCATAGGATATCCTTGTCTGGTGATGTTTTGAACTTACTTTTTCCTTCTTGTAGCTTAAAGGAAATCCAAGACTGTTGTTTCTGAGTTTGGATATATGTTACAATACAAATGACCAGGGAGCCAAAGGCTACTTAAGTGATCTATGACATTCTGAATTCACTCCCAAGTCAGTTTTGGCAGGCAAAAAACCAAATGTCTTCCTCTTGCATATTCTTGCAACAGGATGTCACATTAAAGAGAAGACCGCTGTGAGTATTTTAGCCGTCTGATTCAAATTCCTTGAGAGCCAGAGGGGATGCTTTGAATTCCTTTTATTTGGTCAAAGATTGGTTGAAAACCACTCAAGTTTGCGTCCAGGTGTTTTAAATGAGCAAGCATTCCCGCAGCAAGATAACTGAGGCGGGTATTGTGCATGTGGGTGGTGCTTGGGGCGTCCGAGCAGCAGGAGATAGATAGTAGCACTTGTAAACCACACGTAGAGGCAGCTCCGGTGACACAAATCCTGTGGGAATTGAGCAGTATCAGGCAGCATTCAGACCAAAAAGAGCCAAGTCTGTCTCACCTAGCGAAGCAAAAGCTGTGAATGTGAAGGGTTACTTGCAGGGTATTTATAGAAAGCCACACCCGAGAGTGAGGAGAGTGGTTTCAGATGAAAGACAGGGCTTAGCAGATGACAGATGGATCGAAAGCAGGAGCAAGCCTGGCTGGGAATTAAAGATAGCTTCTGACCAGCAGCAGAGCAGGAGCGTGACTGAGCAGGGAATTACATCTGCGGGAGAGCTCGGTCAGTCTGTGCTGGGGATTGGTGCCACTGCTGGACACTGGGATGATTCGCTGAGCCCCAAGTCCCTGTGGCACCCCTGGGCTCCAGCTGTGAGCTCCAGCTGTGCTGTGCCAGGGCCCTGTGCCTGCAGCAGGCAGCCTGGCTGCTCTGGGGAGCAATGAGAGCACAGCGTGCTCCTCAGCTTGGCAAGGAAATGAGCAGGAGGAACACGGGCAGAGCAGTGGTGGAAATCTCTCTGAGCCTGGAGCCGGAGAAGGAAACCTGCCCACCCTGCCTGCAGTGACCAGGGCAGTCTGCAGGAGCATGTGCCTGCCAAAGCAGCTCTTGATTTTGGCCAGTGGAGCCATTTAATTAAAGCAGCACTGAAAAGGAAGCCGGAAATCCAAGAGGCAGATTTTTAATCTCTTATAGTGTGGTAGGCAATCTGCATGCAAATCACACCTCCTCCTTTGCACGGGTGTGTGTTCCTGCCCCTGCGCAAGGACAAGGTGCTGACATGAGTCACTTACAAAGGCATTTAGCTGTTTTTGGAGGGCCCCTCTGTCCCTTTGTGAAAAATGCATGTATTTTATGATTGGCTTTTTGCAAGTATTCAAATGAATGTTATATGTGTTTTGTTAGAAAGTAATGCTGTATTAATTCTCTTAAGTAGTGTGTTGGATATAGTTTTAGGTTATAAAAAATGTTAAAATAGAAACTATGCTATGTAGGATACTTTTTTTAAAGAAAGGACTCGCAGTGAGATAGCAGCCACAGGGCACCTGAATCTTTCAGAGAAAAAGAATTTATTGCCCTCTTATCAGAAGAAACAAACTTCTTCCTGCTGTTAGGATTCAGGGGAAGAAGTTGATGATGACCAGACAGAATCCTGTGTTTGAATGGAATTTATGCATCATGTATGAGGTGTATGAATATGCAACAGGTTATTGTTTTTAAGGGTTAATCCTTTGTTAATGGGGGTCCTTTTTTGGGCTTATGCTGCCCAGAAAAAGGTACCTGGACTGTCTGTAACTCTTTGTCTCTATTGTCTTGTATTGTCCTAATTCAATTTGTCCAAATTATTATTACTCTAATTATATTACTATTTTTATAATCATTTTATTACTATTGTATTTTAAAATTTTAAAGACAAGTGATTGGCGTTTTTCACAACTTTGTGTGTGTGGGCCCTCAGAGCCCTCATGGTGGTGGATGCCTCCTTGGGGTGCAGGGGAATGCGCTCCAACATGGCAAAGTTGTCGGGAGGAGGAGCCCTCTCCATCGGTGTATTATCATAGAATCACAGGATATCCTGAGCTGGAAGGCACCCACAGGATCAGAGTGGGATTGCTGGCCCTGCACAAGATCCCTGTAACAATCACACCCTGTGCCTCCTAGGCCTGACCCCACCGTGTCAGGGCATCCAATCTTTCCTCACACCTCTCCAGGGAAAGTGAGTCCACCGCTCCCTGGGCAGCCCATTCCAATGCCGAATCACCCTTTTCCTAAAGAAATTCCTCCTAATGCCCAACCTACACCCTCCTAGCACAGCTTAAAGCTGTGTCCTCTTGTCCTGCCTCACCCCTCGTGGCCACAGCCTCCTGCCAGGGGGCTGCAGAGAGCGATCAGGTACCCCGAGCCGCCTCCGGGCTCAACACCCCGGCTTCCCCAGCCACTCCTGGTCAGATCTGTGCTCCAGACCCTTCCCCGGCTCAGCTGCCTTTCTCTGGACACGCTCCAGCACCTTCCCGAATCCAGGGGCCCAGAACTGGGCACAGCACTCGAGGTGCGGCCCCGCCAGTGCTGAGCACGGCGGAGAATCACCGCCCTGCTCCTGGCTCTGATTCCACTATTCTACGCTTCCTCACACTATCCTTGGCACAGGCCACGATGCCACCGGCCTTGGCCACCAAGAAGGGCTTTTTGTCTCCTTTCTCCTTTTTCCCCCTCAGGGAAGCCCTCAGCCGCCCGCCGCCATGGCGGCTGTGGCGCCCCTCAGGGTGACAGCGGGGCGCTG